TTTACTCGAACGTTAGAGTGTCTAAAAATAAATCTGATTAATGTGCGGATTTTGTTCCAGCGAAGAGTTTTAAACTCACTAGCTGGTTTTGAAATATTAATGGAAGTTTGGTTTTCTTTTAATAATTGATTTTTCAGATTAAGAAAAGTAAGAAAAATGTCCTTTGGGGTAGGTTTATCCCAAGAATTCGATTTAATTACAGCGTAGTATAATTTTATTTTCTTAAATGGTAATGAAACAACATCGTGTATCTTAGGATTTATTTCTTTTAATTCTTCGAAATGCGTTCTAACGTCGACATTGTTGTCATTGAAATTTAAATCTTCGGAGATAAGTATTACGCGGTTGTCGTCCCATGATTTTAGAATTTCGTCGTATTCTTCTACTTGGTTATTTGTGATAATTGTCGATTCTAAAGATGCTAGAAAATCTTCGTACGAACCATCCGATTGGATCTGGTGAATATTTACTTGAGTTTGAACAGGATGTAGTGTTATACGGCTGAGTGCATCAGCATTTTGATTTTTCTTACCCGGCTTGTACTGAATTTCATAATCATACTCCTCTAGTTTCAGTCTCCATCTGAGTAATCTAGAGCTAGGGTCTTTGACTCCAAATAGCCAAGTCAGAGGTTGGTGATCGGTGACTATTCGAAACTTTCTGCCTAGAAGATAAGAACGAAAATGTTTGACAGCCCAAACTATAGCTAGTCATTCACGCTCTATAGTGGAATAGTTTGTCTCCGCAGTGTTTAGGGTTCTACTGGCATAAGCAATAGGTAAATCGGTTTGGATTTCTTTATCTTTGTCGGTGACACCACGTACTTGAGATAATACTGCACCGATTGCAAAATTGCTCGCATCAGTAGAGAGAATAAATTCTTTTGTGAAGTCTGGATATATGAGGATTGGTTCGGAGGTAAGTTTATTCTTTATTATCTCGAACGATTTTTGTTGTGTGCTTGTCCATTTAAAGTTAGCGTTTTTCTTTAATAAACTAGTCATCGGTTGAACTATATCACTAAAGCTTTTTATAAAACGTCTGTAGTAACCAGCAAGCCCGAGAAATGATTGAATTTCTTCACGTGTTTTAGGGACCGGACATCTTAAAACAGCTGTAACTTTAGCGGGATCGGGTTGCACGCCTGATTCGGATATTTTATGTCCCAGATACATTACCTCGCGTCTTAAAAATTTGCATTCATCAGGTTGAAGTTTTAGATTGTGTTGTGAGAGTCGTTTAAATACTTCTCGTAATCGTTTCCCGTGTGTTTCCAAAGAGTCAGCAAAAATGATTATATCGTCGAGGTACACTAGACATCGGAGACCTTGGATTCCAGCTAAAACTATATTCATGAGTCTCTGGAAGGTTGCAGGGGCATTTTTCAGCCCAAAAGGCATTCTGGTAAATTCGTAATGACCTTGTGGGGTCGAAAATGCTGTTTTTGCTATATCTTGTTCTCGAATAGGGATTTGATGGAATCCAGAAGCTAAATCTAGTGTTGTGAAATATTTAGACCCACCTAGCTGGTCAAGGATGTCGGTTATATTAGGTAACGGGTACGCGTCGCCAATAGTTTTGTCATTTAATTTCCGGTAGTCAATAACAACACGCCATTTTTGTTCACCGGAAGCGTCCTTTTTTTTTTGGCACAACCCACACCGGTGCGTTCCACAGAGACTCAGAATTTCTTACTCTGCCGTCGTTTTTCATCTCTGAGATCTGTCTAGCTACTTCATCTTTGAAAGCTTCGGGGAGTCGGTGCATTTTTTCGTTTATTGGTGTGTCGTCAGTTGTCAGGATTTTATGGTCTGAAGAATCAGTGTTCGTGAGTATATCTCCTTTTAGGCAGAATAAATGATTGAAATCAGTACAAATTGGTAATAAGTGAGCTATTTCCTCATGATTGAGGTGAGCAACACGGATGCTTTCTATTAGTGCAGATAGTCGAGAAGATTCGTGATTAATGGATGAGTTGGTTTGGTATTGTAGTTTCATTATTCTTATATCATACTCGGACATTGGGTCAATATCCGTTTCCGGAATATTGATTTCACAGTCAGTATCAGTTGTATTGAGAAAAGTGGTTTTCGCGAATCCGTTTTTATCAACTCTAACTAAACTGCCAGAGAGGTAAACGCCGTCGCGAATTCCTTTTCTGTCGATTATACCCCCTGTGACGTCCAGATTTTTCACTTTTAAGGAAACTATGGTTTCCGTTCTAGCTTTGATTCTGTGAATGTGGGTTAATTGAGGAATTAAGTTCTTCTGAGATTGAATTACAGGATTTTGTGATATTTGCGGATTTGATTGAAGAGTCGGATTCTTTTGAGATTGAATTAAAGGATTTTGTGGGTTTGTTTGAGGAATCGGATTCTTCTGAGATTAAGTTGAAGGATTTTGTGATATTTGAGTGTTGGATTGAGGAGTTAGATTTTGTGGATGATGTATCAAAGGAATTGAGCCGTTTGCAAAACGTAGTTGGTTTTGCGCGTTATCAACGTTTGTTTTAAATTGAGTGAGGATATCATTCCCGAGAATACCAGCAAATGGTATCGGAAAAGAGTCCTTCACTACGTGGAAAACGACTGGATATTTCGAGTTTTCTGTAGTTAGCTCCAGGTGACAATAACCTAGAGTTTCTATATTTTCATTCGAAAGTCCATTGATGGTTAATTTTATGTTATTATAACAGGGTGTGTCTCCGCGTAGTTTTGAGAGTTTCATACTGAGATGGTAGCCCCACTATCGAGAAGCATTTCGAGTGGATTTTCTTTCGCTTGGATAATTTTAAGATTGACGAAGGTTGTGACACTCATTAAATAGTTTATTTTTACTGTTCTGCCTGGATATTGTCTATACTCCGCAGTACGGCAGCTACCGGAGTAGTATCGAAGTTTAAAGGTTCGGAATTGATGGGGTTAGGTTCGTTATTAGTATTCAAACTATTAATTCTTTGGTTTTGATTGGGGTTAGTATTATTATGTGGGTTTTGAGCTCTTCTAGAATTATTATACATCCTTTTACGGCATTCGGAGATGTCGTGTCCGCTTCTTTTACAGTATCTACAAAATTTAGCTTCGCCTTCAACTTGAGCTTGAACTTGTCTAACTTGCGTTTCAGATCGTGTTGATGTTGTCTGAGGTTTGAGTTTAAAACATTGGAGGGTAGTATGTCCCCCGCGATTACAATTTTCACAATATCGAGTTTCTTTTAAACTAAGGTACTGAAATTTTGACATTTCTTCACGCGATTTCTGTTCGCTTTCTTCCGCCAGAGCGTATTGCACTGCGTCCTCCAAAGAAGTAGGTTTTTGAGTTTTTACAACTAATGAAAGATCCCTATTCAATCCTAAAATGAATACATTCATAGCTTGATTCTGTATTAATTTAACGCAAGCAGCTCGATCCGTCGTAGACAGGCTTTGGTCAAGACTATTAGTGAGTTTAATTAGACAATTTTCAACCTTCGTGGAGAAGGATAAAACGTCCTCTTTTGGGCCTTGCCTGCATGACGATAGTTCGAGTTGCCATTGTGCGTGAGATCGTTTTTCAGAGTACGCTTCTATGAGATAAGATTTTAAGGATTCCCAATCAGTGAAGGTGCGATTACGAATAAGTGCTCGCGCATTCCCAGATATTTTGGTTTGAATTATTTTAAAAAGGAAATCGTGGTCCTCTGTCTCGGTAATTTCTGTCTAGGCAATTAAGTTAGCTTACAGAAAGATGATGCTGATTAGAGATGCAGGATGACCGTCATTTATAATTATGGTCACAGAACGGTCATACGACCGTCATGTGACTGACCGTCTCAAATGACCGCCGGTTTTGAAATGCCAATTTACCGTCAGGAATTTTTTGGTCACAAATTTGGTCATCTGCATCTAGCTAGATGAGTTGGACCGTAATTTAAAATTCGGTCACTTAAAACGGAGTGGTCATCAATTTGGTCATCTGCATCTAGCTTGATGGTATAAGACAGCAAAACCTTCTGAACAATATACTGGTTCTTGTTTCTGGTCCGAAGGATGGAGATCATTGCTTTGTACTTGTGATAACTGTAAAAAAATGTATGAAGAACAACAGGTTTCATTTCTGCTTGATCCAGCTGATAGTGTGCAAGATATTAAAGATTTTTTCTCTGGAATGTCGTTAAGACAGCAATATTACTATTTTTGTAGACTTAACTTTTTTTTTTTCATTTATAATATTCAAACAATCAATAAAATAATGCCAATTATCATAATGTTGTATAAAATAATAAACATAAATAAATCATCAATATCTCAAGATAATTAAAATTTGTTATTCATTCATTCAAGATTTGTTCTTAAAAATATTTTTATAAACAATTGTAAAAAATTTTGCAATAGTATAACTTTTATTATTTTAAAAAAATACAAAACTTTTCTTACATGTTAAATATTGAACTATATAAATAACATATGAATCACTTTTTTTCGAATAAGAATATCACTAAGATTAATGATCATCACTGTCTTGGAGACTTTTTTCGTATAAACGTAGTACTTAGAATTATGAACATTATAAAAATATAGAGCTAATGAAATAAAACAACATAATATTAAATTATAATATCATATGTCATCAGTTTCTGTGCAATTTTCAGAGTCAGATTCCCAACTATTGTCAGAATCTTCTGAATCCTCTAGTTCAGGTACATATTTTTTTTTATTATTAAATAATCTTTTGTTATATGCTATATATGTAATTTTACTAGCACGAACATTAGTCAGTCTATTCCGTTTTTTATCATGAATCCAACCTTGAGTACTAAAGCTACGTTCCGTTGCTGCAGAGCTAGCTGGTAACGATAAAATCTTTTCAGCAATTTTACTTAATTGAGTTTTACGACATATTGCTTTCCACCAATTAAGAGCAGACACAGATGACATTGATTTTTCGACATGCTTTTCTGCCCACAAACCCTCATTTAGTTGATAATCAGTGATTTCTTTAAACAAAATCTCACAGTCCATGTTAGAATTTTTTTGCTAAATCTGTAATAAGACTTGTTCCACTAGCTTCTTCTTCTTCCGTCAAAAATTTACCTTTTTGAGTAGGACTGAGAATGTCAGCAGCGTAATGAATTGGCTTTAAAGCTGAATGTCTTTTTTTCTCTAAAATCTCAAATACTGATTTTGTTTCTTCAGATGTTAGAATAGAAACTGAACTGTTTTTCAGTTCTTTTTTGAAAAGTTTTTCAATATCATAAAAAGCTTGATAGGCTAAGTTTATAGTTCCGCCATCACCTTCTAAAATAGTTATCCACTTCATTATTGGTTTCAATAACGTTAAAATTCTGTTTAATGTAACCCAAAATTCATCACTTAGCAAAGTATTTTTTGATTCTAATGATAAACGTTTTTCCACTTTAATATCAATTGCTAAACTTTTAAGATTTTGTTTATTTTTTAGTAAACTTTCATAAGTTAAAACATAAGAACCCCAACGTGTTTGTCCTGGAACTTTCAAAGTAGTTTTTTCATTATCTGTACTATTTTTTTGAATACTAGTCAGAGTAGCTAACAAAATATTTGATTTTTTTATTTCTTTAACAACAGAAACTGCGTTATTATTATGTGTTTGAAATGTAGGTAAGATTATAATTTCTTTAATCAAATTATTGAGAATATGAGCAACACAGCCATAAAATTGAATCTTTTCTTCATACATGGCATCAACTAGATTCCAAGCAGCTTTCATTGAACTAGCATTATCTGTGCAAACTGCGGCAACTTTGGACGTACCAATACTGTCTATGACACTTGAAATTTCTGAAGCTAATTTAGTTACTGTTTGTGATGCTTTACCAGTTGCAATCGATCGATAGTAAACTGGTTCTGGAGTAGTTACAACAAAATTCAAGATGGATTCCCCGCGAACATTAGTCCATGAATCACATTGAACTCCAACCGAATAAGCTTTCTTTATTTTATTCTCAACTGCACTTTTCATCTCTTCATATATTTCATTTAAGTATTTGTTAGAAATTTGATCTTTCGATGGCATCGAAAAAGCAGGACGAAGAGTCTTGAAAAAATCTTTCCAATATATATTTGAGACCATATGTAAGGGCATTCCCGATGAATATATAGTACGACACATTTTTTTTTGACACTCAACTAATTGATCTTGAGTCATAAAAATTCTTTATTTGTCTATGTGGTTGATGTTGAATTCTGTCATTACCATTATGATCAGTTTCATCTCTAGATTTATTTCTCGTTTCATCTTCATATTCTATTGAAATGTTCTCTTCATCAGTATTCTCGAAATTTTCTACTTGAATATTAACTTTGGATTTCATGTTAATAATTCTTTCAAGTTTGTTTTTGATACTTTTTGGCGTACCTTTACAGTCTGTCCTTAGGTGCTTCATCATTCGTGTAAAATGCCATACATGCTGTTTTGTACAGTATTTGCATTTATATGTTTTTAATTTTTTACCAGGATCAGTAGTTACAAGAGTAAAATAAGCATTTAAATTGAAGCTTTTAGAACGAGTCATTATTCTGAAATACATAAAAAAATCACAGTATTAAAGAGGTTATAATCTCAATTGTTTGAAAAAAAGAAACGACTTGGCTGTGCAATAAGCAAATCAACTTATTTATATTCAATACCAATAGTTTTAGAATAATTTATAATTAAAAGATCTATTTTTTAAGTTTATTGATATATTAAATCTCTAATATTATTTTATTTACATACCTTGCGTTATGTTACATTACAATTCAACATACATAAATAATGTATGTATAAATAATTGTCGATAAAATGGATGAAGGCTACTAGAGTGTCATAAAATTATCCGTTAGATGTCGCGACTAACCCAGTGGTCGGTCATTTTAGTAATGGTCAGCTGATGGTCTTATGACCGTGACATGACGGTCATAAATGACCAATTCGGTCACGCTCGCATCTCTAATGCTGATCATCCTTCGCTCTTGATGTCCAGATGTAGGTGATACGGTGGTTCAGTGGTGTAAGGTTTGGATGATGCGAAGGCTGGATGATGCGAAGACTGAATGATGCGAAGACTGGATAATGCGAAGGTTGGATGATGCGTGTGTAAAATTTGGCTGGTGATGAGTTGAAGGGTTTTATCAACTCGATGGCTGGTTAACAGCAAGAAGTTATATTGTTACAGCTGTCTGCTTCACAGGTTGATGTTTACTGCACAGCACCAGCGCTTATCTTTACACTGATTAGGAATTAGTAAGGCTGAACAATTTTCTTTCAGTTCTGTTGGTTTAGTGAAGTATATAGTTGATAAGTCGCACTGAATTCTCTTGAAGTACACCAACTTGTCACTGTTTTCTTGATTCGGAATTAAATTCGATTGCTCGATCAACTTTCGTATTATCTTCGAGCGATCCCACTTTTGACACCAATTGTAATGAATCAATTTTCGACACTGTGAAGTTGGGTTTATTTGAGTGATTTATTGAATATTTGTAGAAGTAAAAATACAGAGATGTTTCTCCTTTTAAGTCTAGATTTAATCTAACAACTTTACACTAAATTGCTCGTTGAGTAGCCTGTAGCTCCCAACGTCTTGCTGACGGACTATAATATAATCCTTAAAGTAAAGTATCTTATGTCTATGAGAAAATTATAGTAATATAATATGTGCACTTAGGCAGTTATAGTTTGCTATAAAATAGATTGAATTTTATTTTTATGTGGAGGGTTTTACAATAATCATAACACAATCCACCACAAGGTGACAAGACTAACAAAGTCCTGTTTTCCTCTCACTCCCTCTCTTTGTTAGTCCTTAGGCATCCTCTTTATTAATCTAAAACGGACAAATTTTTTATTAGGTTTTAATTTAAAAGTTTGTAGGTAAGACATTTATGTGCCTCTAAAGGTAGAGGTTTCGTTAGTATGTCTGCCACATTTTCTTTTGTAGCCACCCACTTAACATTTACTCTATTTTCCTCTACACACACAAACGAAATTTTCATGTGTTATGGCCATGTGCCTCCTCTTTCCACTCTTTTCTCTTTCTGATAGGTTCTCTTTAATGTCGTCTATATTGGCATCGAACATTTTGAGTTTGTGACTCCCGTCTTTCTTTGTACAATCACCTGCTGACTTATTATCGCACCACACAGTGGTCGGAAATAATGTTTTCCCAATTGCGTATCTCACAGCTTTATCTATAGATATTAGTTCTTGGCATGCATCACTCATAGCCAAGTATTTGGCCTGACACGTAGACAATGTAACATATGACTGTTTATGACTCCTCCATGCAATTACATCACCAAATAGTTTAATGATATATCCTCCAGTTGATGTTGAGTCTTCATGATCTCGAAAACTCGCATCAGTATATGCCTCCAAGTTATCAGTTCTGGTCGTATATTTAAGACCTATGTTGACTGTTCCTCTTAAGTACCTGAATACTCTTTTCACATCTTTCCAGTCTTCTTTAGTTGGTTCCAACTATTTTCTTGATAGATAATTTACTGCAAATGCTATATCTGGTCGTGTTGCATTTGCTAGGTACATTAAACTACCAATTGCCTCTCTGTAAGGTATCCTCTTAGGTTGATTATACTCTGATGTGTCCTCTCTGTCACATTCCTCCATCCTTCTTTTCTTATTTCTATTTTCCACTTGTCTAGTTACCATTGGGGTATTCTGGGGATTACATTCTCTCATGTTCAATCTCTCCAGAATGCTTTCAGTGTATGTCGATTGATTAATTATTATGAATTTTTCCTCTTGTTTTTTTTATATATTCATACCCAAGAAACTTTTAGGCTCACCAAGATCTTTCATTTCGAAGACTTGACTCAAATGGCTCTTAATTTTGTTTAATTTTTCCTCATCATTACTAGCTACCAATATATCATCTACATATATAACTAACATTGCCATCTTACCCTCTTTTCTCCAAGTATGCAGACATGGTTCATGTAAGTCGTTCTCCAGACCCAATTTTCTCGCTTCCTTTGTAAATCTTTTATTCCATTTTTTTGGGCTCACTTTTAACCCATATAATGCTCTCTCTAATTTGCATACATTTGATCTTTTTGTGTGTTCGTCTACCTCCAGTCCCTCTGGAATTTCCATATATACCTCTTCGTCCAGCACTTCATTTAAAAATGCAGTTTTGACATCCAATCGACACGCATATAGATTTAATTTATTAATTATTGCAAACATAGCTCTCATAACTGGAAGTCTTGAGACTGGGGAATATGTTTCTTTTAAGTCATAATTATTTTTATCTTTGAAGCTTCTTGCAACCAGTCGAGCCTTATATCGTGTTGAACCGTCTGCTTCTAATTTCCTCTTGAATACCCATTTTGAATCTATAATGTTTGCTCTCTTATTTCCTTGTTGTATTTTCTCTCTCTTTACGAATTTCCATACTATATTATTCCTTATATATTCTAATTCCTCTTCAACAGCTCTTTTCCAAAAACGGTACGTGTTATTAATATCTCGCCTACGTGATCTCGACAATAATATCTCAGACAAAAATATCTCATATCAAAAATTTCTCAACAAAAATATCTCAGCGCAATAATATCTCTCGATTTCAACTCATAAATATTTAATCATCTGTTTATACTGGGGGCTGCACCCCCAGGCCCCCCTGTAGCGGGGACTTCACCCCTCGACCCCGGAAAAGAAACCAACCCTGCAAGAGGGTAATTATCAATTTACAAAAACCGTGCAAGTACATTCTGGGGCTTCGCCCCAAACCCTACCAGGGGCTCTGCCCCTTGACCCCGACCGCCCCCTTCGCTATTTTCCTTCTCTTAGCATAAATTTCTTATATGAATATAATTTATTTCATAAATAACCAATACAAAAAATTACATTATATATTGACATAAAAATTCTCATAAACAAAGACTTTATTACTTGAGATATATTGAGGTGCCACCCAAATAAATATGTTATTACATCAGCAATATATTGCATACAATTAAATTAGCACAGCCATCAGTATTGTTTTTCAAAAAATTATCACTAAACTTTTACGATAATCAAATATATAAATTATGTGCAATTCCACGCAAATACATTAATACATCTTCTCGATTGTAATTTTGAACAATTATATAAATATTACGATTTCGATCACGATATCGTTTCCGATCATTACTATCACTATTACCAGCGATTAGACGTTCAACCGCAGCTTCAGTTAAACATTGTTCTTCTTGGAGTAATTCAATGAATTTCCAGATGGTGACATGCGCTGCGGCAGCACGATTATTAAATCCATTGTGCCACCCTTCGACAGAATTGTTCGTTCGATCATCGTGATTTAACGTTGTCTCATAATAATTCCATGATTTTATACAGAATATACTTCCAGAGCGTTGCTTACGTCGATTTAACTTCCCAATCCAAGTATGCTCAAAGTATTCCAGTAATTCATTAAACTCATCAAGATGATCATTATAAAATGGTGATGCAAGCAGCTCATCGTATGCCTCAATAATATCTCGAGGCGAAACAAAAGCAATTGCACATAACATCCTCAAATTCAACGAGTACTGTGTATCAGAAGCGTACTTCACCTGTAATCCACAACTCTGTATTTTTCGCCAAATACATTGTGTGAAGTGAAAAAAACATCCTTTTACTTCAACTCCAAACACTTGAACAGCAGCTTGCATCGAGGCTAACTCAAAATCAACCATAAACTCATTTGGATTTAATCGAGGCTCCAATTCTTTCAATTCACATAACATGCGAGTGTATACTTTTTTACTTTTCCCAGTACACAGTACAAACACTAGAGGCAATACCTTATCCTTCAATCTGCCATGTATACTGTACAATTGATAAAATAGTGATGGTACTGTTTTAAAAGTACCATCAGCATATAAAACATTACTTGATCTTAGATAATTTAAATTTGAAGCAGTCGAAAAAATTAATAAACGATCACTTCGTTTAGCAGTAGTAATAGTTACATCTTTTAATAAAAACTTCTCTCCAACTTTGGTTACTGTATAGCATTCAGGGATTATTAAATTTTCGATTGTAGATGGTATTTTAGGATGACTTGACTGAGATATTTTTAAATGAGAAATTTTTCC